TACATTATAAAATGTGATTTCTATTTAAATATTTTAATTTATTATAAGAAGTAATAAATACAAGAATTATATTTAAATATATTTATTTGTTATAAAACACTTTTGCTCATTATTACGTAATTATATATCGGTTTGTTTGGTCCGAATGCGAACAGAAGTGCTTCTCTCACTTCAGTGTCGTTGCCATCGATGGCCACAAATGTCTTCGGCACCAGTACTTCAGTAGTATTAGTCATATCAGTACTATTTATATCATATACAACATCAGTTGTATTGGTCTCAAGACAATAGTATATTCCGATCAATGAGAATATGATGAGTCTATACATCTTGATCTCAATCTACATATAGAGTACAAGTGATAGATCTGTAAACTATGGATCAGAATATATACTCAAAAAACATGAGGTTTACTAATCGTTAAACAATTTATCATAAAAGTCACTCATTTATGAATTTCAAATTAACGTCAATAATATAATGGCAATTAAAGCGCGCTCAAATATTTACAACTATAATAAAGTTAATTCTCAAACAATTGCCATAACTTTTCATAAACTAATTTCTAATAACTATTCAAAACTAGCGCTAAACCCAAAACTTTAAAACAAAACACAGACTCTATTACTATAAACCACTTATAAAACATCGAAAAAGCATAACCTTTACACATAACAGGTTGCATACAAATAGCATAACAACCCATATCTAAAGGAATACCTAAACATGTGGATCACATAACTCTGATTACTCGTGTATGAATAAAATTAGCATTTAAATCGCCTTAAAGTGGAAAACAAAAACAAGAAAAAGTTTGACAAAACAATTGAAATGTCATTGAAATCAACGTTGAATTCATTGGAAGCGTTGGTCGAGAGTCGGGCGAAAAGTCGGTTGAATTCACTGCGAGAACACATACTATGGAAACACTATTGCAGTGAAACACTCGCCAGTATTGACACCATTCAAGACAACAACAGTCATAACATTACAGTTAATGATAACAAACACTCAAATGAAAGTGAAATTAATAGCCAAGCGTTGAGTGAAACGAGTTTTAGTCGACAACACCACTCAATAGACCACTCATTGACTGATTCACGCGATACTAATGCCCGCCAACTGATGGTTAGGACGAGTGGTGATCACAAAAGTGGCCGTAAATGTGATCCGACTTTAAAACCCATTGAATTGCGAAATAAAATCAATTACCTGTCGATTCAATTGAGAAATTCACAGTTTTTTGAGTCCTTTCTCATCGAAAAGTGTCTCAATTTTGGCAAAACTTTGTCCATTCATACCGTGAAACCCAAGGCCCGTCAATCGTCGCCTAAAAAGACTATTAATAATAAAATTGTGATCAAAACTAATGATAATAATAATGCTATTAATGATAATAAGCGTAAAAGTGGTGATCATATGATGGCTCAACCCGTGGATCCAATTAGCGAAGAATTAGTGTTAAATAAATTGATTAATGAATTAATCGTTGAGTTGTTTGACACGGAAATGGATAGACTTTTATACGATTAATGCAAACATTATGAATATTTTTATGAAATAGTAAATAGTTTTTAGGCTGAAAATGATAATTCATAGCCTCAACACTGATTGCCATTAAAACCAATGCTATTATGAAGTAAAATGTGATAATAATTAAATTGGTTTACAATTTATGCCAAATTTATAAACTTGTGATCAAAACGAAAAACTTTAATATTTTTTGCATATTTTATGAGTTTAGATGAGTTTATCATAAGTTTAGTCTCAGTTTGATATGTATTGTAAGTTTTAGTGAACATATGGTTCATAATAATGGATATATTGGACAACGATATAGAAGTGGACAATAATAACGAAGCGATGGAAGCAATAAATGGTGATAAAAGACACCGAAGAAGTAAGAGATCCGCTGAATACAGGTCTTGGGATCTATACGTCTACACCATTGCTATGTTTGTCAATCACTTCGCTTATGTATGCATTCATTCACTCGTTATAGTGAACACTAATATCGATATTTATATTTAGGACACTTTAAAAGCTATTTTGCATACCTGTCCATTAAATATGATATCAATATTTTTGTCATAAATTGAAAGATTTTAACTTTTGGTAATTTATCTCAAAAGGGTGTCAACTATGGCATCAGTGGCCCAACGCTCGTGGACTTAAGATATATGTTAAACACGACAATGAATTTGATATCAATTAGTCTTGTCATCAATAATATTGGATATCTATCCGGCGCTCTGTGTAAATATTTTTTGGCTATAATTATATGATTTGTTGATTTCAATTATGAACTAATTTATGCCTTTTGTATAACAGTCGGACTTCTATACAAATACATTAATAGACAGTTAACTGTAGTCGTAATAATGGCAGCCATGGCCGCGTCGGTGGCGCTGATACCGTACTGTCCCAACCTATGGATTCTGTATTTATTTCAATACGCAAACGGTTTGGGCGCCGGTATTTGGGATACTGCTAACAATGTGTGGCTGATCGAGATGTGGCCCCAGAATAGCTCACCGGTGCTCCAGTTCTCGCAGTTCATGTACGGCTTGGGCTCTGTATTTGGTCCCATAATCGTGAAGCCATACCTCACCGGTGAGACCAATCACACGCTGGCCATCGAATTGAGTGATTTCGGTGATATGACAAGCACTCCATCAGCACCGGTAGATAGACGCGCGCTCCTGAGGACTCCGTACCTCATCAGTGGAATCCTTCAAGGATTTAGTAATTTTTGAGTTTTGGTTAAGTTTTTGTTGCATTTCTAATGATTTGTTGTGTATTTTAGTACCGATTGTGTTTCTAATCATGTATTTCGTGAAGCAATACAAAAGTCCCGATCAAAGACTGAAACGCAAGGACTCGTCTGAAAGTCTGTTAAGCGATGATTTGGACGATAGAGACGACGGTGCCGTCCGTTCTTCACAAATAGAGGACAACTGCTTGGAGAGCACATACAGCCCGCGAAAGCGATTAGCACTCATAGCTCTGTTCTCACTGTTTATAGCGATTTATGCATCGCTAGAAATCGCACACTTTAGCTACAGTTCCACTTATTACCAGTACATGGAGTTAAAGATATCGGCAAAAACCGCCGCTGAGATACTGTCTGTGATGAGTACCAGCTATACAGTGGGCCGATGTCTCAGTGCGTTCATTGCCATCAAAGTTGGTCCGCAAGTGATGATTATCTATCACTTACTGATTATAATCGCCGGAATGGCTGTTCTCTACTACGGCTCACACATACTGGCGCTCATATGGATTGGAAATATTATTTTAGGTATACTTTCGCTAAAAATAATATTTTAAACAATATTTTCAT